AAGCAGGAATAAATACTTGATCGACTTGAATTTAACCCCTGATAATAACATGGAAGCAAATTTGTCTAGATTTTCTTCAGCAAGAACCATTTCCATTCAGTTAGAAGCCTTTACAGACCACGCAGCAGAAGTTTTCGTTACATGCAAGACCTGTGTAAGACTATTTATAAGACAAGTAACGACTTCAAACACTCAGTAAGGGGAGGTTATCTGATCCTCCCATACATCAACTGGAAGACTCTTCGAATACATGTCAATCAGAACGTTTATATATATATATATATATATATATATATATATATATATATATATATATATATATATATATATATATATATATATATATATATATATATATATATATATATATATATATATATATATATTCACTGTGTCTTAAAACAAAGAGTATCATTTCCAATTTTCTTAAATGAGCGGACATTGGATCTCTTTCAGACTAACCGACCATGGTTAATTATTATAAGAAAAAGTCTTCCTGAACTGAGGACAATGATATCGTCCACGTAAACTCACACATCAACCATTTGAGATACAAACCTGCCAGAAGACTATTTTGTATGGAAGAAAGCTAAATGGCATAAAACAACAAGCACTCAATTTTCAACAACAGTTTCTTCCAACCGTAATGTCAACAGCTCTGCTCCTAAGATGTGGGATGTGGTAAAGATCTGCACTCCAGAGAATACTAGAGCAAAGAGAATCATTAAGGATGAGTTCTACAAAGTATAGTCAACCGTGGATTGACACAAATGTGAATCGGCTTAACCAAAGAAGAAAAAAACACAGAAAAGACAAGGAGTCGGGAAGCTTAACTGAAATTGCCAAATACAAGGACTTCAAAAAAGAAGCAAAACCAGTATGCCAGCTTGCTTATAATAACTGCATGCAAACTCTAGTAGATACCTCATCCAGTGACAACCCCTTAATAAATAGTAAAATGTCTGACAACATTGCCGTCGCTCCATTGAAAACAGCTGATAGGATAACCTATTCTGAAAGAAAGACTAAAACCAACATCATCAATAAACAGTTTAGCTCATTTAAAGCAGAATAAAAAACCTTTATGATGAGGGACAAAGGCCCAAGCCCACGCACCGAAAAGCATCGTATTGACAAAACCCCGGTTGATGTTGGAAAACATCTCCATGACCTAAACAAAAAAAGGCTACATGACCGGATTAACTCCTAAAACGGTTTCTAAAGGAACTAGCGACTGAACTTACTTCAGTTTTGAACCTGTTTTCTAGCCATCTGTCAATACTGGCACTGGGCCAGAGGAGTAGAAAAAGCCAATGTAGAAAACAAAGCAAATACTATTGGCCAGTCTCTCTTACTCCTGTAACCTGGATAATCCTTGGGCATATTTTATCACAAGTTCCATTACGAAACACCTGGATACTAATAAGTCACTATAAAATGCACACCGTGGGATCCATCGAAGAAGATTTTGTGAAACTTAATTAATTGCCATTATACAAGACATAACCAGTTCAACTTAAAACCAAGAACGAGCTGATATCATCCCACTCGATTTCTCTAAAGCTTTTGATAAGGTCATCAACCACGTCTGCTTAAAAAGCTGGACTATTATGGCGTCAAATGCAGCACGCAGCAATGGATAAAAGACATCTTGGTATCCAGAATTCAGTCGTTCTTCATGTAGCAACCCTACTGTTAATTAACGACTTACCAGAATCGATATCCAAACAACATATTGCATGCCTCTTTGCCGGTGACTTTATTCTATACAAAAAGATTAAATCAGTAGCGGATGTCAAAGCTTGACACAAACTATATAACTTGGAAAAGGATTGGGTGATAGAGTTACATAACATAAATTTCACGTTCTACACATTTCTAACTAGAGGAATGCCATTGTTCTGCCATATTACATCCATGGCCAAATACTAGATAATGTAGACACTGTAGAATACCCCGGAATCAACATACATTAATCGCTCAGCAGCAATACTCACATTAATACCAACATCAAAACATCAAGAAGATCAATTCCACCATGTCCAGCCAAGACTAAAGAGTTATGATATAAGACACTAGTCCGTTCCATCAAGGAATATAAAGGAGTAATCTGGAACCCGCATGCGAAGGAATTCATCAACAAACTGGAGATGGTCCAGCGCAGAGCGGCACGGTTCGTCACTGGAGATCAACATAGAACCAGCATACATCTATGTTACAGCTGCTCACCATCCATGAGAGAAAATCACAAGCTAGAATTATAATGATGTTCCCGGTAGTACGCGAACTTGCTGACGTACCATTGGATTACCTAATGCTAACACAATCAGAACTACTTTGTCCCATTTGCTATGGCAAAGATATATAAGCATTCATTCTGCACAGATGGTATTCAACCCTGGAACGCTCTGCTACAGAAAACAATGAATTATGCATCGCTTGATATTTACAAATCACAGATGCAGGCCATTCAGCTATGCAATGCATTCAAGTGATGTTT